CAGATGTGTGGGTGTTAGGCTTCCCAGGCTCCTGGAAATCACCTGGGTTTAGAGGGAGAGGATCACAGATGAATCTCTCTCTCTTGCAATGTGTGTAGCCGTCTCATCGATTAGGTACTCCCAGTTGTGCAGTCTGTCTGTCTGTCTGTCATCAGGTGTTTATCTGTATCAACAATTAGGTACTCCCAGATGTGCACTCTTATCTCTTTATCTTTCTGTCTATCTCTTTAGCTTTCTATCTGTATAGGTATCTATCTCACTATCCATCCATCTATCCTGTCTGTTTATCAGAAGGCAGGGTAGATTTGTACCTTGTAGGCTGCCCAAAGTAGCTGTGTAGATCTAGATCTATATAGATATATATTGACCAATAGATATAAATGTATAGCTATATAATATATCAAAATATGTAGATATTGATATGCATGTGAGTGTGTGTCTATATAAAGCTGGTGATAGATAAATAGGTAGATGGTATTTTATAGGAAATATACCCTGCCTTCGACTGGACTTCTGGCTAACACAGCTCACAACATCTGTCTCTGTCACCAGGCATGCAGCTGTAGCATCTGTTAAGCAGTCCCCTATGAGCATCTTGTCTGTCTGTCCCTCCATCCTTCCCTCCCATGCCCAGCTCAGTGAATTCTCAGAAGCCAGTGGCAGTGGCTCTCCCAAAAGCCAGGCTAGGATGCCCTTTGGGCAGACAGGCTCTTGTTAGCCAAACTGCCCAGAAGAATCCAATGCCTAGTCTCTGCCAGGACGTCCAGCACTTAAGCTCCTGGGAGCTGAAGTTTGGAGCAGCCAAATCATCCCTGCAGCGTGGCAGGTCTACATGGCCCTCCCTCCCCCAGCTGTCAGCAGGAGGAGGAGCTGGTGGATAACCCCTGTGCTGAGCCTGAAGTAATTTGAGTTTCCGTAGAGCAGGCTGGAGCTCCCGGAGACCTCGCAACATGACCCGGGACAGCTCTTGGGCACAGGCATAGAGGGACACCAGGAGACACTGCATCAGGGGGCTCAGCTGTCTCACGTGGTGGTGGACAGCTGCATGTGCCAGCCGTGGGCTCCAAAGGGCAAGAGGTGATTAGCACCCAATCTCGTTATGGCTTAATCACCTGGGGGGTGGGGAAGGCAAGCTGGGTGGGGTACACAGCCCCCCAGTGCAGGGACCCATGGAGGGAGCTGAGGGGCTCTGTGCAGATGCAGGCCCCAGTGCTCTCTGGAAACAGGAGCTCTCTGCACTTTAATCCTACTGACTCAGAGCAGGTGCATAAAGCCCAGAGCAAGCTCAAATGCCTGCTCTAAGCAGGGGAGGGGTAGAGATGCCCAGTGAAGGCCCAGCAGCCTGGGCACACATCCCTGAGCACAACCCATGGGGTGCAGGCCGGCGGGCTCTGTTCCCCAGGGTAGCTCTGGCAAGCCAGCCTTGGTGTGATTGGCACTTTGGGCAGCCCCATCTCCTGGGCATTGTAGCCGAGGCTATACTGACTTTGATCCAAGGCTCTTCAGGGCGAGGACTGTCACTGGCACCCAGCAATCAGAGGAAGAAGCTTCTTACCTGTAAAAGTGGTGCTGAAATAGCAGCAGGACAGCACCTTCCACCCCAGCCAAAGGCAGGGGAGTCGAACATCCTTAGGCTTGCATTTGCAGTGCCCCCAGCGCCAGCTGGCCCTGGATCAGGTGCCCTTCTCTGTGGACACGGCCAGGCAGCTCTCCTGCTTGTCACTCACATGAGGGTCTGTCCGGGAGCCGGGACCTGTGGAGCTGCCAGCGCTAATGACAGCTAATGCTAAACCAAGGGGTTGCAGCCGGAAGAGAGTGGGGGGGAGCGGTCATGGGGGGCCATGACTTCTCCACACTTGATAGGCAGCTTGGAAAAAAAACAACGTTATCTGGGCAGTCGGGAGGCAGCTAGGCTGCATGCCTGCTGGGGTGCAGGGATGTCTTTGGGCCTGAGCAGAGCAGAGCTGCTCTTTCCGTGTGACAGGCGAATGCTTGATGCTGCCTGATGCTGCGGAGCTGCGTTGCTAGGCGCTGTGCAGCGAGAGGATAAGACACGGTCCCCAGAGCTGACAACCTAATGAGGCAAAACAGGCAAATGACCTTGCTCAGGGCCCCCGGCTTGGGAGCTGGACGCCTGGGTTCTGTGCGTGGCTCCACCGCCAACCACTGGCGTGACCTTGGGAGCTGCCTCCCTAGGCTGGAGCTGAGCTTGGGGCCCTGGCTCTGGGCTGGGGAGGGATGTGGTGCAGAGGGGAGGTGTCTGCATAAGAGCAGGGTGACGTGGCCCTTGCGTTGCCACCATTCCCAGTCCCTCTGGCTTGGCTCCATCCACTCCTGTGCTTGTCTCTGCTGCTCCAGCCAGGCTCGTGGTGGCCTGCCCACATGACGGCTCGGCACGGGGATGCGTTTCCTCTCAGCTCAGCAGTACGGTGACACTAATCTGCCTTGTGCCTACCCTCACCAGAGCCCCGAATACCAGCCCATAGGAATTGGTTAGGCCTCTCTGACACCCAGGCAAGGAGGGGGCTGGGAGAGTCCCGGATGAAGCCACCTTGCTGAAACGGAGGCAGGGAGAGGGCCAGGGGCTGTGCCTTTTGCTCCATCCCTTCCCATGTCTTTGCTCCCATCCCTCTGCTTGTCTCTCTCCTTTCCCCTTTCTCTACTCTTCTTTCTCTCTCTTTCTGTCTTTGACCCTCCCTTTCCTCCGTTGCCCGTTCTCTCCCTTGCCCCCTTTCTTGTGTCCTCCTTTCTCTCTGCCTCCCCTTTCTTGCTCTTTCCCCCACTTTTTTCTTCTTTCCCCCCCACCCCCCACCATATATACCTCCCCCAAAATCTCCTGCTCGCTGTCTCTGGCCCTGCACCACCTAGGCTTCTTCCAGTTTCTGGTCTTCTGCATCTAAGAGATACTCCTGCCCTTAGCATGTCTTTTCCATCCAGGATGGTTCAATCAGGAGACCTCTTCTCCAGCTTAGTTGCAGAGGGGCTGTCAGGAGATAGGGCAAGATTTTCCAAGCCGTGGGACATAGGGCACCCACTCAACTTGATTACCCAGCCTCCCCTTCAGGTCTTTAACCAGTGTCTCCCCTCTCTCCCACCTGCAGGTGACTTTCACCAAGCGGAAGTTCGGTTTGATGAAGAAGGCCTACGAGCTGAGCGTCTTGTGCGACTGCGAGATTGCCCTCATCATCTTCAACCACTCCAACAAGCTGTTCCAGTATGCCAGCACCGACATGGACAAGGTGCTGCTCAAGTACACCGAATACAATGAACCCCACGAGAGCCGGACCAACGCCGATATCATCGAGGTGAGACCCACCGTCCTTGCTCCCAGCCTGTGCCTCTTGGCTCGGCATGTGTGTAGGGGGTAGTTCCACTGTCACTAAAACTGGGGTTGCGATGGCTTGGCTGAAAGCACTCGCCAGAAGCTCCAATGGGATGGGATGTGCCAGGGGTTTCTAGGGTCATAGGAAAGTTGGGTTGGAAGGGACTTCACAAGATCGTGTCTAGTCTGGCCCCCTGCTCAAGGCACGATCAGTGCTGACCCTTCCAGCCAAGGGTCTGTCCAACCTACTGTAGAATATTCCCAGAGATGGATACTCCACCATCTCTTTAGGTGCCTGTTTCAGCATGTGACCACACTTGGAGTGGTTCCTCCTCATATCCAACCTCAGTTTCTTCCACTACACAGATTCACAGAAGTTTAGGAACTGAAAGGGACCTTGTGAGATCACTGGGTCCAGCTTGAGGCCATTGCTCCTAGTCCTGTCCATTACAGCCATAGAAACGGGTCCATCTCTACAGTTCCTTCTAAGCTGTGTGTGTGCACAGCCGTGCACAATAAAAAATCATGCCGCACAGTAACTTTTTAATGCCATGCACATAGTGACGTACTGATGGGGGTGGGGGGCCATGGCCCCCGGGCTCTGGCCTGGGTGGGGACACCCAGTGCCATAGCAAGGGGACACCGATTCTCCCCCTGCCACCAGCTTTGCATCTGGCCACTCACCACCCACCCCAACCCAGCCACAGGCTGCTGCAGGAGGGAGGAGGAGTGGGCACACTGAAATACCTGTATACTCGCAGCCAGGATTGCTCGTGGATTGTGAAATCTTAGAGGGATCATCGGTCCTCTCCGTTATCACCCTTTGACTCTTATCAAATCCCCCTCAGACTTTTCTTCTTTAGACTGAATAACCCTCTTTTAGCTAGGGTTGGCTGTCCTGTTACCAAGGGGTCTCATCCCCTGATTTTGTTTAGCACAGCAGAAAGCTGAGCCTGGGAAGTCTTTCTGGGAGAAAGTGTCTGTCCTTCTCGGACATGTTGGGGGATTGTGGGAAGGTGCTGAAGGACTGGGTGGCACTGGCTTGTGTTTACCCAAGGGGTTTTAGCCTCACTCCCCTCCCAGGCCAGTATGAGAGTGAGTTGGGCTGGGGGCATGCTTCAAGTCAACATGGAGTGAAGCCAAATATGTGCATAGGGCGTTCACACAGCTAAGACCACCATGAATCTCAGCCATCAATCCAGGCCCTGCCCCACCTATGTGTTCCTGAGCACAAAGGAGCTGGCTGCCCCTGTACCATGTTCCCTGGAGGAGTGCGGTACGTGTGTCGCTCTCCGTGTGGGCAGCTTGCTTTATGCCCGGGCAGATCTAGATAAACGCAAGGGCTGGCTGGGCAATTATTGACATCGCTGGCAGGCAGGGAATGAACGCCCCTGGAGCCTTGAGTCATTCAGTTTATCTGCTTGCGGTGGCAGGGGGCGAAGGACCCTCGGCAGGATCAGAGGCCAGGATGCGGCAGGGGGCAAGCGATGCTGCAGAAGCACAGCAATGCCACGCAGGCTGTATGCCATGAGGATGCTCGAGCCTCTTCAAAGCACCACGGGAGAAACGCTCTCCCCCCGCTGTTCTCCCATGTCATTCCTGCCTTTTGAATCCTTCTGGTGCCTTACGGCAGCCTCGGGCTTCACGCGCCTGCTTTGATTTTGTGGGGGGGGGGAGAGGGGAAAAAAAAATCCCTCTTCCTAAAGCTGCATTTCTTTCTGGCTCAGAAGCTGCCTGTCTTCAAGAGCAGGCTCTCAGCTAAGGAGCTTTTCTCCTCATCGTCCAGCTGAGAAAAATCCCAAGGTCTGATTCTCATTTACACTCAAGCCATGTCTGCAAGCAATTTTCAGACCAGCACCATGCCATCAGCTTAGGGTCTGGGCTTTCTTTATTTAACCCAGTGGTTCTCCACCTTTTGGGGCTTGAGGCCCTGTTCCAAAAATCCCAGCTTTCCGCTTTCACTCATTTTTTGACTATGGAAAAAAAAATTTAGCAGTGTTCTTCTATTGCAAAGACCTCAGAAAGACCAAAACTGGGGCAGACTGCTTGTGACACTCTGGAGTCCTATTTGAAATCTCTGGGTTTATCCTGGGAATCATGTTGGTGTTGCATACCTAATCATGCTAATATTGTACAGCACCCTTAAAAGGATCTTGTGGCACCCCAAAGTGCTGCACACCCGTGTTGAGAATCACGGTTTTAACCAATACCCTGCCAATCCTGTATAAGAATAGTTCAACCTGTATAAACCCAGTCAAACTACATCTGGACTAAGGGGATGTACTGGGAACTGTACAGGTGTTGTTATACTGGTATCATTGTACCACTTGGGGTTCATCCTGTAAACAAGGCAAGAGCATGCTGTGTTGGGCTTGGTTTTCAGTGGTGCTGTTGCCATGTCCTGACAGTGGAAAGGAGTTTGACAGTGAGGGCAGCTATAGTTTGTGCCCATTCAGCATCCTTTTGCCTGGCCGCTGTTGTGCCAAGAGGTCTGAGTACACTCAGGATCTTGTGAGGATCTCGTGCCTCGTGTGATGGAGTTTGCACCAGTGCCAAGGCCCTGTGTAACCTGGACATGGTCACGTTTCCCCCTGGTTTTAAATGATGGTGCAGTGAGAAGTGCAGAATCCAGAGGCTGTCATGGATGCTGGCACCGATCTTCCAGAAAGTAAATGGGTGGAATTCCCTGATGTTACAGGGTCAGAATTGGCTGCAGGATGGACCCACATCCATCCTGATCCCAAAGGACTCAGCCACTTGCCTCCTGTGTACATGATGCTGCAGAAAGACCACCCCATACCCTCATTTCTATGGCATGCATTTCACTTCATCCACAGCATGAAACAGATCGGTTTTGGTCTAAACATACCGTTAACATTTGGTGCTTTGTTCTCCTGTCTGTATGATCCGAGATCCAAATACATTAAATCCTGCAAGATCCAGGAGGTGCTTGGCACTAGAGAATGTTCTTGGTGTGCACCAAATAAATGAAGGAATCTGCATCCCAATCTGAGCTCAGGGAGTCATGGATGGTGACCGTGAGAGAAGTGGAGGCTCCACAGATTTGCTAAGGGAGCTGCATGATTTGTTACTGGAGGCATGCTTCTTGCCTGCCCAGGGAAGTCCCACAGAGATGGGTTTTCAAGCTGACCTTTGGGAGTCTCTCTGGCCTACTTGCCTCCCCAGCATAATAGCAGCCTCAAGGTGCTCAAAGAGGGCTCCCAGTTTCCCACAGCCCCCCAAGAGCCCACCCTAACAGCCAAGGATTGTCGGGTCTCCTGCCTTTCCTCTGGCCTTACTTCAAGCCAGCTCTTTGCCTTTACCCGCAAGGATCCCCATTCCATCAAGGATATGATCCATCTTCAACATAGTTGTGGCAGCTCACTTCAGCTGAGGGCCATGCTCTTGTGGTCTCTTTGAATTTGAGGCTTGATCCAATGATGTTTTCTCCTCGCCGGTGAGAAGGGCCCTGATCTGTGTCCGTTCTGCTATTTCCATCAAGCAGGGTTTGGAGGGTTCTTCTGCTGGGCTGTGGCTCTGATGGGTGGTGTGTTGTGCTTTGGATTTGGGCATTGGCTGGGCAGTGCGGCGTGAAAGCTTGGGCTTTTAGATATTGCCAGCAAGAGTGTCAGCTGGTGGGAATGCATGACACAGGTGGGTTTTATGTTGAGGAGAACTGAACCTTTGGGCTCAGAGACCTGCTCTTGGCTTCTCTGCACTAGATCCCTCTCTGACTGCCCAAGTGGATGGAAAGGAATACTTCCCCTTCATTTTGGGAAAGGTCATATGGTCTAGTGCTTAGTGCCTGATGCTGGGAGAACTGGGCTCTCCACTTGGCTCTGATGTATGATGGTGGTCAAATCACTTCCTCTCTTGGTGCCTCAGTTTCCCCTCCCACTTGTTCAGGCCAGGCACCTCTCTCTGTACAACACCTTGCACAATGAGGCCCAGTTTTCATAAGTGTCAGTAACCTCATTGCAAAGGACTTAGCAACTGCTTGGTGGCATCACTAGGACCTGAGCAGACTATCCCCCAGGGTCATTGGGGGACTGTCTCCCCTTTGCACTAGCTGTGTGACCTTGCTGTCCAAGACAGAGCTCCCCTACAAATGGAAATGCTTCATATCCTCTTCTCCTCACCTGTCCATCAGTCTTACCTGGCTGCAGCATCTTCTGTGTTTGCCTCTCTGTTCTGCAATAAAAAACCCTTCAGATGCCACTTGCTCTGGTGGCTGAGGGAATCTGAGCTAATGACAGATTGGGACACGCAGGTTGGGAGCCAAAAGTTGGTGGCTGCGTTGGGTCTCCAAGGAGGGCAGACGGCCATTTCTTCTGTGCTAGGAGAGACAGGCAGCTGCCTGGGAGGGCTGGGTTGTGGGAGAGGTGTTGATTTAGTCTGGGATCCGCTGCAAGGAAGGAGCTGTGAAGCAACCAAGCATGAGTGTATGTGTGAGTACTTGTGTGTGAGGAGAAGCAATTGGTGTGTGTATGTGTGTGTGCTTGCATCAGTGAGTGTGGGAATATGAGTAAGGCTTGCATTTGTCAGTCTTGGGTGTGCATGTATGCGTGTGCTTGCATCTGTGAGCATGGGAATATAAGTGAGGCTTGCATTTGTGTCAGTCACGGGGGGGAGGTGCGTGCGCGTGCATATGGATGTGCCTGTGAGTGTGTGCATATGAATTTGAGCATGCATGTCGAATGAATAGGTGTGTGTGTCTATGACTTTGAGCCAACATGCACGTGCAACTGAACCTGTGAACAAGTGAGGTCCTGAGCTGGGTGATATGTTAATGAGGTCTGACCTTGTGCTGCTTCTGCTCTTTCAGGGGATGTATTCCTGGCAGGAGTCTCAGGGATGCTGGATCCTTTAGCTGCTTTTTCAGGGAAGGGGGGCCATAAAGCAGATAGAAACAGTCTCCTGAGGGATTTCATAGAATCATAGAAGTTGGGTCGGAAGGGACCTTGTAGATCTTCAAGTCTGACC